CTCTACAACCTCATCACCAGGGCCTCCCGTCACAGGACCCTCACCCTGCCTGACCTCTATAACCTCAACACCAGGGCTGCCCATCACAGGACCCTCACCCTGCCTGACCTCTATAACCTCATCACCAGGGCTGCGCATCAAGACCCTCACCCTGCCTGACCTCTATAACCTCATCACCAGGGCCACGCATCAGGACCCTCACCCTGCCTGACCTCTACAACCTCATCACCAGGGCCTCCCGTCAGGACCCTCACCCTGCCTGACCTCTATAACCTCATCACCAGGGCCTCCCGTCAGGACCCTCACCCTGCCTGACCTCTATAACCTCATCACCAGGGCCACGCATCAGGACCCTCACCCTGCCTGACCTCTATAACCTCATCACCAGGGCCATGCATCAGGACCCTCACCCTGCCTGACCTCCATAGCCTGGAAATTCCAATCGGCGTTCCGCACGCTTTGTGCAGACTTCCAAAAACAGCGTCCTCCTGCTGTGCCACTGTTACTTCCGCTTCCATCTCCACAACCACGTGCTCATCCATTCAGCAGGGTTACACATGAGTCCTGCTCCACGCCAGGTGCTGTACTGGCATATGGGGCGCCGGAGAGACGGGCCCTGACCTAACGGGGTTCTGTCTACACAACACAGCACCCCCACACCAGCTACAGGAGCCACGCCGCATGACGGGGCCTAGAAAGGACGGGGAGAGCCCCGCAAGGGTGGCTGCACCCACAGCAGACGCAGGGACTGTGGAAGCTGGGGTGCCTGGGAATATTGGAAGGGCCGGTCCCCCCAGGACAGAGCCACATCAGACCACCTGCAGCCCTGGCGGGGGCGGGTGCTGATGCCGCATGGCCCGCCGGGGGAGGAGACGGTGACTTAGACAGGATCCGCAGGAGGGACGAGGATGGTGGTTCCTGAGGACCCGACATCAGCAGGTCTGAAGCTGACTGAATGGCCCGACACCCTGGAGCCTCCAGGGCACTGTGCTGAGTGAGCGGGCAGGACAGCTCTGTGGGGGCCCTACAGTAATGGTCTTCCTCCTGGTGGGGGTGTGTGTGCTACAGAATTACCCAGAGACCAAGCATAGCCCCCACCCTAGGAGATTCCAGTGCCCCCTCCCCTTCTCCTCCACAGTAAATGCGGACCTATTCAGATCTGACCGTGGGCGCAGGCTTTGTGGAACATTCCAACCCCCACCCCACCCTGGCAGGAGTCTGGAGAAGTCCCCAGAAGGGTGCTGGCCAGTGGCGACCACCAGGATCAGCCCACAGGCAGCCCCGCGCAAAGCCCCAGGAGGAGGAGCTGGGAGGAGGGAAGGCAGCTCACACAGGTGACAAGCCCTGAGGCTTTCCAGAAGAACCCCCTAATAACTGGAGCCACGCCCACCCAAGAAGGCCTGCATCAAAGGCAGGAGGCACAGGGTGCGACCGATCACGCCTCGGCAGGGAGAAACGGCTTACTTTTCACTAACCGAAGCCAAGCCAGTGGAGGCCGGTTCGGGCCTCAAGAATTCCAGTGCTGAGGACACGCGCTGAACTCTTACCTAAGAAGACAGAGAAGGAAGCCGACAGGAAGCCCAGCAAGGGGCCGGCCGAGAATCGTGAGCCTAAGCCCTGGCCTGGACACCAGGAGGCCTGTGAGCGGTGGCCGTCCTGCGCCACGCTGGGTGGCTTGGCCACACCGAGGAGAACAATGAAGATGGAGCGCTCCCGTCCCTGTGAACTGAACGACCTCACAGGGAATGGTTTTATCAGTAACCTGGGGTCAGCCCCTCCAGGCCACAGGCTCCTTGGAGGCGGGAGGCGGGCAGGCTCCTCCCAGCGACCTGCGGCCCACTGCATCCTACAGCACTCTGCACGGGCAGCGACAAGGAGCCCTGGCTCCCGGGGACCACCAGCACACAGGCTTTAAGGATGGGCGACCCCACTGTGGCTACTCACTTGCTTGGAGCCCGCAGGGCTGGCCTGGGCTGTGGGGGCCGCTGAGGACCGCCTCAACGTGCCTGAACCAGCGCACCACATGGAAGAGCCGCAGGTCGGTGGGAGGCGCCGAGAACTGCCTGAACGCATCCACGTCCGCCTGGGACAGCGCGTGCCCCTGAACGTAGCTGCGCGTGCTGAGGTGCTCGTTGAGGGCTTCCAGCCGCACGGCCTCGTCACCTATGCTCAGGATCCACCTGTAGTCGGGAGCTGTGGAGACAGAGACGGGGCACAGGCATCAGGCAGCCCACACAGGAGGCAGGGGTGATGCCAGGAGCGAAGACAGAGATGGGGGGACACAGGCGTCCGGTGGCCCAGAGAGGAGGAAGGGGTGATGCTGGGAGCAGAGAAACGGGGGGACACAGGCATCAGGCGGCCCAGAGGAGGCAGGGGTGATGCTGGGAGCAGAGACAGAGATGGGGGGACACAGGTGTCAGGTGGCCCACAGAGGAGGCGGGGTGATGCACTGGGTGTGAAAACATGCGAGGTCCTTGGGGACAGACAAAACACAAGCAAATGGCAGCACCCCTCTTTGGGTGTTGCGAGGGCTGTGCTCACTGGGTTTAGAGGACCAGGCGCCACCTGCAAAACCCCAGCAAGTAGGGGGACGCAAGCAGATCCAGCCCCCACCGCAGCGAGGGTGGTGAGCCGGGCCACATGGGCCGCTGGCCACGGAAGGGGCCTGGCCTCCAGAGCCCAGGAGCAGGGGCCTTGTCTGTGCAGTTACCTTGTTTCAATTTCCTGAGGGACCGTGGAAAAAAGAGGTGCACCTGTTCCTTCCCACACGAGCGCCCTCCTGGCCCCGGGCCCTCTCACTCAGCAACATGCGGCTGCCCTTCCCAGGGACCAGGCCGTCCTCTCCTCTCCCCCGCCCTCCAGGTACCTAGGTCTCTTCTCCCCCAGCTCTGCTCCCCTGCGAGGTGCGGGCACAGGAAAACCACCCTGAACAAACCCACAAAATCCCTGACATCCAACAGCGGACGACTGTGTGTGTGTGTGTGTGCGTGTGTGTGTGCGTGTGTGTGTATGTGTGTAACTCCATGGACACACACACCTCTCCCACTCCAAGGAATGACCACGTGTACGTGTGTGTGTGTGTGTGTGTGTGTAACTACATGGACACACACAGCTCTCCCACTCCAAGGAGTGACGTGTGTGTGTGTGTGTGTGTGTATAACTGCATGGACACACATAGCTCTCCCACTCCAAGGAGTGACATGTGTCTGTGTGTGTGTGCGTGTAACTACACAGATGCACACACCTCTCCCACTCCAAGGAATGACCACGTGTACGTGTGTGTGTGTGTGTGTGTGTGTGTGTAACTGCA